TGGGGCTTTCAGCCCATTTTATAGATGAGAAAAGTGAGGGTCAGGGAGGGATGCAACATACCTGAGGTCATTCAGCAGGCACCTGGGGGAAGCCAGATCCGAGCCCACACCCTCGCTCTCTCTTCCCTACATTGCATCAAGCTGGCCTTCGAGGAAGAGGAAACATGTGTCCTGCTCTCCAATACGGGATTCAATTGATTCCTGGTAGCTCACTCTGGTCTTTGACTGTCATCTGGCCCCAGTAGAGGAAAAATACCATGCCGTAAGCAGGTATTAAGCCTTGCCCAGGGGACAGAAGTTACTCCCACCTGAAGCCAATCTACAAGTGTCTCAGTACTCATTCTAGAATTCAGATTACACAGCTAAGCCTGGCCTTAGGTGAGTTCAGAATCCACAGTGATACTGCAGCCGATGAGAAAATAGTACTATTTCCTCTGTAATGAGATCCACCTAAACCTTCCTTTAAGCGGTGAAGTTTCCTGAGCAAACTTAATGACTTACTTGGTCCCCCAAGGCCTCAGAACCCTGAGCTCCACTTCACAGAACAAGTGCTGGTTTTTGGGTGACTCCCTTCCTCTCCTTCTGCCCTGGACCCCATATCCAGTGGCTCTAAAGACAATGAGAGTCATTTTGTTTTTGTTTTTGTTTTTGTTTGAAATAGAGTTTCACTCTTTTGCCCAGGCTGGAGTGCAGTGGGGCAATCTCGGTTCACTGCAATTTCTGCCCCCTGGGGTTCAAGCAATTCTCCTGCCTCAATCTCCCGAGTAGCTGGGATTATAGGCACCCACCACCATGCCCGGCTAATTTGGGTAGTTTTAGTAGAGATGGGGTTTGCCATGTTGGTTAGGCTGGTCTTGAACTCCTGAACTCAGGTGATCCACCTGCCTCGGCCTCCAAAGTTGTTGGGATTACAGGCGTGAGCCACCGTGCCTGGCCGAGAGTCATTCTGAAAAGAAACTGCTCCCTTGGTCCAAAAAGGCAGATTCATGCCCGCCAGAGATACCCTACCATGAGGAAACCCTGCACAAAATGGCCCAAAAGGTCCTCTGGGTGATTGGCACTGGTATTTTTTTCTTGCAGGGAGTAACTGTTGCCAAAAAATTTGAAAGTCTGGCTAGTTTTAAGGAATTTGAACTTTACTTTTTCCCCAGTCAAGGACTTAGCCAAGACAGGGATTTTATAGCATACAGCAGGAAAGGGTGAAAGAAGATTGAAAAAAGAGAACAAGAAAGAAAGAGAGCAAGGAGGACAGGAGGGGAAAAGGAGAGGGGACCTCAGAACAGGGAGGACATCCTCCCCTGCCTTAAAATGTCAATTACCTCCTCCCACACCACGCACCTACAGCCACACGAGCCCTGTCTTCCCTGACTCATGGGCTCCAGCACTCTCTGGACTCAGAGCCGCCTCTCGGGTCCTCTGGCCTAGAACACCTTCCGCCCCCACTCTCACTTCAACGCCATTTCTGCAGATCTCATCTGCTCTCCAAGGCTGCTCTGAGTCAGAGCCATGGCTGGCCCGGGGAACAGCTGCTTCTCCTGAGATGTTCTTCAGAGTCATCACTTCCTAAGGCAAGCTTGTCACCCTGCGGCCCAGGGCGGCTTTGCATGTGGCCCAACACAAATTCACACATTTTCTTGAAACATTGTAAGACTTTGGGGTTTTGTTGTTCTTTGCTTTTGTTTTTTGTTTTTAGTTCACCAGCTATCAATAGTGTTAGTGAATATCATGTATGGCCCAAGACCATTCTTCCAATGTGGCTCAAGGAAGCCGAAAAATTGAACACCCCTGTCTTAGGTGATGTGACAGTCATTAGGCTAGGAGGAAAATACACAGGAAAACAACAACAGCAGCAAGACCGGAGACCCTGGAAGACATGTGTCGAACACTGCTGGCTTTAGAGCGTTCAGCCAGACCCCTGCGGTGCAGGCCCCAGCTCCTCTCCTCCACGTGGCCCTGCCCCGGCTCACGTCTCCTCCGTGCAGTCCTGGCTGGCTTCTCCTCTTTTGTCCCCTCTCCAGGAACACCCACGGTGCTTCAGGCTGCAGCAGCGCACACCACTTTTGTGACATTGGCTCCAGGCTATTTTCTGTGAGTTCATCTTAGGAAGACACCGCTTGCCCGGGTTCAAGAGGGCAGATCCACAGCGGATCTCCAGTGGAGTGCAGACTCACAGGGGTCAAGTTAGATCCTGTTCTCTGATCACAGCCCCCCAACACTCCTTGCCCCTCCCACCCTACCTAAGTGAGCAGTTAGCGGCCTCCTCACATAGCTCCTGGCAGAGTCCATGTCCCTCTTTCCTACACCGCAACCCGTGGACTCCAGCCTGGCCGCCAGTGCATTCAGAGCAGCCTCATCAGAGCCGCAGGCTGAGGTTAAACCTGCCAAGCTGGTACCGGACAGGGGTCCCCATCCAGACCCCAAGAGCAGGTTTTGGATCTCACGCAATAAAGAATTCCTGGAGAGTCCGCAGCAAAAAGTGAAAGCAAATTTGTTATGAAAGTAAAGAAATAACAGAATGGCTACTCCATGGACAGAGCAGTCCCGAGGGCTGCTGGTTGCCCATTGTTATGCTTATTTCATGATGACATGCTAAACAAGGGGTAGATTATTCATGCTTCCCCTTTTAGACCATGTAGGGTACTTCCTGACATTGCCCTGGCATCTGTAAACTGTCATGGCACCAGTAGGAGTGTAGCAGTGAGGACCACCAGAGTCACTCTTGTGGCCATCTTGGTGATGGTGGGTTTTGACCAGCTTCTTTACTGCAGCCTGTTTTATCAGCAAGGTCTTTATGACCTGTGTCTTGTGCTGACCTCCCATCTCATCCTGTGACTTAGAACGCCTTAACCATCTGGGAATGCAGCCAGTAGGTCTCAGCCTCATTTTACCCAGCCCCTGTTTAAGATGCAGTTGCTCTGGTTCACACGCCTCTGACAAGGCCACAGACCTGGGCCAGGGCTGCGGGCCTCTGGGCTTGTCCGTTCATCCATGCTGTCCCTCTGAGTGTCCACAGTTTGTTCCCTGTCTTGGCCATCAGATGGCACCACGATTCCACAGGTCACTTGGCCTGGTTTTGGGACAGCCGATTCCCAGGACAGTGGGCCAGGTTTTGGGAGGGGTGCTCACTACCCTGCCGCTGCCCCTCCTAGATCGGGCAGCATTCCAGAGCCAGCTGTACCCCTGCAGGCTGGAGCTGGGCTAGCCCAGCCAGCCAACTGGCACATGAGGTCACAGCCCCCTTCTGTGGGCTTACGGCTGTGAAGCAGTGGGGCAGGGGCTTAGTGGGAACCCCCAGTGGCTCTCGACTAGGGAGGTCAAAGAGGGCAGTGCCAGGAGTCTGGCTTCATCATTGCAACACTGCCTTTAAGAAATGTTCCTGAGTCCCAAAATCCAGGCTTCCTTCCTCTCCATCCACCCCACTCCCACTGCGGCTCTCCAGATTTGAGCAAGAGATCCAAACCCCTGCTGAGTGTTCCCTAATGAGGGCCACAGTAGACAAAGGGGAGAATGCGCCTGGAGGACCCCTGCCCAGAAAGCCACATTCCCCAAATCCTAGAGCGTTTCTTCCTAAAGCCACTTCAATTAACAAGCCTTTCTAGCAGCTCCCAGCAAAGACATCATCCTAAAATGTGTTTTCCCAATAAATGTATTGTGCCCATTGGCCTTTCTCTCCCGAACGCATGCAAATTGGATGACGTTAAATAATCTTGATTCCAAACTAGCTCAACCAGGGCTATTATCACAACACCCAAGACTTGTTCTGTGACATGAATATCTGTTGCGTCTGACCTTGGCCGTGGCTTTCCGTGTACATCCATTGTTAGATAATTCTAGGGTTATGAACAATCTGCGAGGCTTCTAATGGTGAGGAAGAGAAAAGACAAAGGAACACAACCTTAAAGACTTTACTAACAGCTTAAAAGATACTAGTATTTTAACTTAAAAGCCACATGATCAATCTAGTATATGTGAACTGTGCGCTAACAATCACATAAAAACGCAGAGCAGACGGAATGGGTGCTATTGTGAAATGTATTTCTGTTCTTTGACCCTTGTTTCCTGGCACTCAATTTCTAAAATCCTTAGAATCTCCAGAGTGATGTCTGCTTGTGTGGGGAATACATGAATGTCTTTTTTGTTTGTTTTTATACTAACATGCAACAAAACCTTTATTACCATTTTGAACAGCTTCGGCTATTACTGAAACTTGTCATGTCTAAACTTAAGTCGGGGTAAATGGCTATAGGGCAGAGTTTTGCCATCACTGGGCACTGCGAATGCAAGACTGAAGAATTAACAGCCACCCCTCAGACGCAGGACCAGGTGCAAGGTCGACTCTTTCTGGATGTTGTAATCAGAAGGAGTGTGGCCACATTCCAGCTGCTTGCCTGCGAAGATGAGCCTCTGCTGGTCACGGGGATGCCTTCCTTATCCTGGATCTTGGCCTTCTACATTTCGATGGTGTCACTAGGCTCCACCTCCAGGGTGATGGTCTTGCCGGTCAGGGTCTTCATGAAGATCTGCATTTTGACCTGTTAGCGGATACGACGATGCTACGAATGGCCAATCACATCCACCCACTGAACTCCGACAAACCTTCACCTGACAAAGCCACTCGTCCCTCCTTTTTTTTTTTTGGACAGAACCTTTATTGCTGAACGTAAAACACCTGCCTGGGAGGCCTGGCCAGTGGCCTCTTCACTGGGCTCAAGTCGGGTGGAGAGGGCTGGCGGGCCGCAGGGCCACTGCTGCCAACGGCTGTGGGGAATAGGCCTGGAGGCCACCCCTGCCTGGCACCCTGGAGGGCAGTGGGTGGGGACAGGGGCCAGGCCCTGGGCACACACTGGTCATGGAAATTTCCAGGCAGGCAGAACAGTGTCCCTGTGGCCCCAAGTGGGGCTTGGTGGTGGGCATCCCTCCTCTGGGGCAGAATGGCAGACAGAGCCTCTTTCCTCTCCAAGGACCAGGGTCTGAGGTAGGTGCAACGGTTCCTGGGGTCCTCACAAACGTGGCTTGATGTGCAGAGGCTTCCCTGAGTCCTTGGTCGGGGGGCCCTGGGAGCCCAGGCCCTGGGCTGGCCTCCTGGGCTCAGCGAGGACTGCAGGGAGATGAAGGAAGGCAGCCTGCAGAGCCTGCTGGAGCGCACCACTGCTGAGGCAGCCTCCTGGTCCAAGGAATTGAGAGGGGACAGGGAGGAGGGGGAGGAGGAAGAGGAGGTAGGAGAAGAGGAGGAGGAAGCCTTGGAGGATGCGGGAGAGGCTGACACCCCTGGGGAGTGGGGAGGCGCAGCCAGGGCAGCCACAGTGAGGGCAGGAGAGCTGGGCGTCTGCCTGGTGGGGTGCTGGGCTGCCAAGGGCTTCCTGGGCCCCTGGCTGGCCGAGGCTCTGCTGCTGGCAGCAGTGTGGCTGGGTCCTGGGGCGGGGGATGTGGCTGCCCACCAACTGTGGCGTTTCTGGGTGCGGTGGAGCAGCTGGCACTGGGTGCCCCGGGGACATGACCCCCTGCGGGCGAAGTCAGAGCACAGCAGTGTGTGTTTCTTCTTTGCACCCAGGGGGCAGTAGCCTTTGAGAAAGTCGCTGCAGACCTCGGCCTTGCGGGACATATACACGTGGCTGCAGGGACAGTTGCTATTGCTGCAGATGCCCTTCAGAAAGTACAAGCACACTGGCGTCTTCTTAGACACATGGTGGGAGAAGAGGCAGGTCCCATCCGTCTTCTTGCAGGTGCCCAGGACAAACCTGGTGCACATGGCCACCTTCTCAGGGTCGTGGATGTAGGGGCAGCGCTCGCCGCGGTTGCACCTGCCGAAGCGGTTGTAGTTCATGCAGAACTCCTTCCTCTTCCGCTCCGCTGCCACGCCTGATGAATGATGGCTAGGCTGCGCTGCACTGCCCGGCTGGCCAGGGAATGGCTACAGCTGCCTGCAGGGTCCAGGTGGCCTGTGCGGATGAGGGGCCTGCTGCCGGCATCACCAGGCTGGCCGGAGGTCTTGCAGAGCTTGCTGGCAGACACTTTGTAGAGGACCCCTCCGATGCAGCGGTAGCCTTTGCTCCGCCACCAAGGCGAGCCTGGTTGGGCTTTTCCACCCCCACTGGCAACTGGACGCAGGCGGTTCAGCACCAGGGACCTGGACAGTGAGAGCTGCCAGGCCCGCCAGGAGGGCAGAGACTGGGGGGAAGGGCGGGGCGCCGAGAGATAAGGCTGGGATCTTCTTGACAATGCGATGTGGTAGCGGGTCTTGATCACCTTGCTAGTGGGTGGAGTCCGCAGGGCATGCAGGCTGGATGCTTCCTTGGTGGGGAGGTGGGCCCGGCTCAGGGGCAGGCAGCACAGCCGGTGTGTGATGACCTGTACCAGGCCTTTGTTGGGGGTCTCCTTCAGGACAGGACTGCTCTTCCCCCGGAGGGCCTGTCTCCCCCGGAGGCTGAGGTGGCTCTTGGCGGTGGTGGCATGGGAAGGGCTGCTTCTTGTCTCCAGGAAGGCTTGTACTCCCCCCCCCCCCCCCCCCCCCCCCCCCCCCCGCCTCCGGATGATCTTGGTGCGGCTCTTCACCTTGTAAGCTGAGAGTGAGGTCTCCCCAGAGAGGGGCTTCAAGCCACTGGGTCCTACTGCTGGTCTGTCCCCCGACGGGGACCTAGACGACTGCGGGGAGAGCTGGGAGGCACGTTCCTTGCTGCTGGCCTCCGACTGCCAACGGAAGGAGGAAGAGGAGGAGGCAGAGGGGCTGGATGCCTTCCACTTGTACTTGCTGGGAGCAGACCCTGGCTGGGAGGACGTGGCTGGTTTCCTGGGCTTGAGCTCTGGGTCGGCTCTGAGTTGTGGCTTCTCCACCTTGCCTGCCGTGCCAGCTGCAGCCTTGCACACATTCTCCGCAGCCAGTCTGGGACTGGGCGCCCTCGGAGCAGCCCGAGGACTCTTCGCGGAGGCGGCCACCCATTTTGTAGTTGTTTTTCCGGAACTTGTTAGTTCGACAGGACACAAGCGGCGAGGCCTCCCGGGCCTGCCTGGGTCCTGAGGCCGCTCTGGCTGGGCCCACCACTGAGCCAGATGCCAAAAGACCTAGCTGTGCTAACTCCATCCAAATGAGTCTCCAATTTTATTTTTTCATCTTTTGCAAAAAGTATTTGTTTCATAATCAAAAGGTGAACCAAAGGAGATATTAAACAGGGCTTTGATCTGATGTTATTCTGGTGCCCAGTTGAGAGACCCTGAGAAAGAATGATGTGGCTTACATGACTCTAATGCTCTTCTTTAATCATTTGATGAATCTTGGACTCAAAATCCAAGATTTATCATCTCTCTGTTTTGTTACATGCCACCATACTGGTTTCTCTGACTATACAGAATCTGTATTTATTTATTAACAGAAATGAGTGCATTTTACAGAAACCCTTCTGTAGACTGTAGTTTATGGATTAGTTCAAGCCCGTCATTAACCAATTAAACATATTGCTGGTAAAAACAGAGGTTGAACTTGCTGTTTTACTCAGATTTAAATCCATCTGGTGTATTTATTGAAATGTAATTAGAAATATTTTCTACATACTGAGTTGAAGCCAGAATATCGATGGACCTACAGATATAACAGCTCTTCAAGGTTTTAATAGCATTATACAATGGCCTATTCATTATACGGATTTCTTTTAAAAATATTTATCAAGAACATTAAAATATTTTATTTTGTAAAAAAAAAAAAAAAGAACTGGTGGCTGGGGGCCCCTGGGCAGCCGTGGGTTGGGGGGTTTGGTCGCTAGAAACAGGAAGGCAGGATTAGAGGGTTGAGAGTTTCAGCCCCACCCGAGGCTCTTGGGAGGGAAGAGGGGCTGAAGGTCAAATCGATCACCAATGGCCAGTGGGTTTCCTTCCTTTCTCCCTCCCTCTGTCTCTCTCACCAGCACACCCCTTAACCTAGAAACTAGACACTAAGGGAAATCTTGAGGAGCGCTCTCCGAGACCCATGGAATGTTTTTCCTAATGCCAGACTCTAGAGAAAGGGGCTTAGGTAGATACTGGCGTCCCTACTACTTAGGCTTAAAGTCGATACCTGCAGGTTGGTGCTCAGGGTTGGGCATAGACACCACCACAGAACATTGAGTCTGTAGAAAAACTGACTCCAGAAAGGCCCCATAAAACCTCTCTTCCATCTGGTGCCAGATCTTCCACTTGTAACAGCCCTTGAAACCAACATCCTTTTCTAGCTGCCTCCAGCCCTCAGAGTAGGTGCAGGGAAGCTGCTGGGCTGGTCAGGGCCTCAACCTCAGCCCCTTTATCTCCTGGTTTACATCTGCTCAGCCTCAGCTGGGGAGCGCGGCTCAGGTTCACCTCTCCCTCCAAGGGCCGCCATAGACATGGCACAGAGACGCTTCCCACTCACTTCTCTCTTTGAACTCTGTATCCATAGCCTGCTCCCTTGGGGTTTCCCCTCTCAACCAAGGTCCTACATTTTCTGGGATTTAAAAATAAATACAGGCCAGGCATGGTGGCTCACACCTGTAATGTCAGCACTGAGGCAGGAAGATTGCTTGAGCCCAGGAGTTTGAGACCAGCTTAGGCAACAGTGTGAGACCCCATCTCTACCAAAACAATCCTGAAAAATAAATAAAAGCAAATCCATAAAAAATTTAAAACTGGGCCAGCCCAGGTGGCTCACGTGTGGTGGCTCATGCCTGTAATCCCAAGTGCTTTGGGAGGCCAAGGCAGGTGGATCACGAGGTCAGGAGTTCAAGACCAGGCTGGCCAACATGGTGAAACCCCGTCTCTACTAAAAATACAAAAATTAGCCAGGCACTGTGGCAGGCGCATGTAATTCCAGCTGCTGGGGGAGCTGAGCCAGGAGAATCACTTGAACCCAGGAGGTGGAGGTTGCAGTGAGCCAAGATAGCAGCACTGCATTCTAGCCTGGGCAACAGAGCAAGACTCTGTCTCAAATAATAATAATAATAATAATAATAATAATAATAAAATTGGTATAGAAAGTCTAGAGGGGCAAGGTGGTCAATGAAAAGCAGCTGCAGTCCGTGGCATTCACGGAGATGAAAGAGGCAAGTGAATCCAGCACTTTCAACTGAAATACCCAGGTTCTCACATTGAGACTGACTAGACCTACCACTTGACCCACTGAGAATGAAGAAAAGCACGGTGGGGCACTGGCCCACCCAGGAGCAACGCAGAGGAAAAGGAACCCCCACCCACCGCCAAGGGAAGCAGTGAGTGATTGTGTGACTCCGCCTGGAAAATCACGCTTCTCCCACAGATCGCTGCAGCCCCTCACGAGATCCTCTCATGAGCTCACACCACCACAGCTTTGGATCTGATACACAGAGCTGTGTGGAGTCTTGGCAGGGCAGCCACTGAGGCACACAGAGACCCCTTACACAGTCCAGCCCCAGGATCTCCATCACAGTGAACGAGGTATCCATGCATATTCCCAGAAAGGGGGCTGAATCCAGGGAGGCAAGCAGCATTGTTCTGTGAGCCCCACTTCCATGGCAGCTCACAAGTTAAGAGCCATGGCTTAGAATTTCTGCCAGTCAATGGCAGCAGGCTGGAGGCTGCCTGAGATGGGACCAAGTTTCCAGCAGGAGGGGCGGCCACCATCACTGCAGTTCAATAGATGCAGCCATCCCAGCTTGCCAGCTTTGGAGAATCTAAATGGTCTGGACAAGGAAGGGTCCTTCATAATATAGGATACCTGCTCTACCAAAAAGCAGCCAGACTACTAATGTAAGCAAGTCCCTGATCTCGTTCCTTCTATCTGGGTGAGACCTTCCAATAGAGGTCTCCTCAAGACACATTATCATCAGACTTTCCAAGGTTGAAATGAAAGAAAAAATGTTAAGGGCAGCCAGAGGCAAAGGCCAGGTCACCTACAAAGAGAAGCCCATCATGCTAACAGCAGATCTCTCAGCAGAAACCCTACAAGCCAGAAGAGACTGAGGGCCAATATTCAATATTCTTAATAAAAAGAATTTCTAACCTAGAGTTTCATATTTGGCCAAACTAAGCTTCATAAGTGAAGGAGAAATAAGATCTTTTACAGACAAGCAAATGTGGAGGGAATTTGTCACCACCAGGCCTGCCTTCAAGAGCTCCTGAAGGATGCACTAAACATGGAAAGGAACAAATCTTTACCAGCCACTGTAAAAACACAGTCAAGTTTACAGAGCAGTGACACTATGAAGCAACTACATAAACAAGTCTGCAAATAACCAGCCAGCATCATGATGACAAGATCAAATTCACACATAACAATACTAACCTTAAATGTAAATGGGCTAAATGCCCCAATTGAAAGACATAGAATGGCAAACTAGGTGGAGTCAAAACACATCGGTATGCTGTCTTCAAGAGACCCATCTCGGCCAGGCGCAGTGGCTCAAGCCTGTAATCCCAGCACTTTGGGAGGCCGAGGTGGGTGGATCATGAGGTCAGGAGATCGAGACCATCCTGGTCAACATGGTGAAACCCCATCTCTACTAAAAATACAAAAAATTAGCTGGGCATGGTGGTGCATGCCTGTAATCCCAGCTACTCAGGAGGCTGAGGCAGGAGAATTGCCTGAACCCAGGAGGCGGAGATTGCGGTGAGCCGAGATCACACCATTGCACTCCAGCCTGGGTAACAAGAGCAAAACTCCATCTCAAAAAAAAAAAAAAAAAAAAAAAAAAGAGACCCCTCTCACATACAACGACAAACATAGGCTCAAAATAAAGGGATGGAGAAAAATTTAACAAACAAATGGAAAACAGAAAAAAGCAAGGATTGCAGTCTTAGTTTCTGACAAAATAGAAAAACTTTAAATCAACAAAAAACAAAAAAGACAAAGAATGACATTGCATAACAGTAAAGGGTCCAATTCAACAAGAAGAGCTAACTATCATAAATACATATGCACCCAATACAGGAACACCCAGCTTCATAAAGCAAGTGCTTAGAAATCTACAAAGAGACTTGGACTCTCTTCCACAATAACAATGGGAGACTTTAACACCCTGCTGACAACATTAGAAAGATCATTGAGACGGAATATTAACAAAAACATTCAGGACCTGAACTCAGCTCTGAATCAAGTGGACCTAATACATATCTACAGAACTCTGCCTCCAAAAACAGTAGAATACACATTCTTCTCATCACCACATGACACTAAAATTGATCACATAATTGAAAGTAAGACATTCCTCAGCAAATGCAAAAGAACTGAACTCATAGCAAACTGTCTCTCAGACCACAGCATGATCAAATTAGAACTCAAGATTAAGAAATTCACTCAAAACCACACAACTACATGGGAATTGAATAACCTGCTTGGATGACTCTTGGGTAAATGATGAAATTAGGGCAGAAATCAAGAAGTTCCTTGAAACTAATGAGAACAAAGAGACAATGTACCAGGATCTCTGGGATGCAGTTAAAGCCATGTTAAGATGAAAATTTATAGCACTAAATGCCCACATAAAAAGCTAGAAAGATCTCAAGTTAACAACCTAACGTCATAACTAAAAGAACTGGAGAACTAAGAGCAAACAAACCCCAAAGCTAGCGGAAGAAAAGAAATAACCGCAATCAGAGCTGAACTGAAGAAGATAAAACATAAAAACCCATCAAAAATGAATCAATCCAGAAGTTGGACTTTTGAAAAGAAATAATAAAAAAATATAGATAGACCTCTAGCTAGACTAATAAAGAAGAAAAGAGAAATAAACACAATCAGAAATGATAAGGGGGAAATCACCACTGACCCCACAGAAATATAAACAACTACTGGAGAATACTATAAACATCTCTATGCACATAAACTAGAAAATCTAGAGGAAATGAATAAATTCCTGGACACATTCACACTCCCAAGACTGAACCAGGAAGACACTGAATCCCCAAATAGACCAATAATGAGTTCTGAAATTAGCCTACCAACTGAAAATATCCCAGGACCACACAGATGCATAGCTGAATTCCACAAGAGATACAAAGAAGAGTTGGTACAATTTCTGCTGAAACTATTCTAAGACACTGAAAAGGAGGGCCTCTTCCTTAACTCATTCTGTGAGGCCAGCATCATTATGATACCAAAACCTG